CTCGGACATTAGAGATTTTCTCTAATAAATGTCCGATGAGCCACAACTTTTATTTCAAAACAAAGCTGCCAACTGGAGAGGCAGCTGGGGTGGCAAGGATATGTTTTAGGGTGGCAGCTGCCACCCCGGTAGATCCGCCCCTGGGTGGTGGTGCTGGGGCAGGCAAGCAGCAGCAACATGAAACACAGTGGCAGCAACAGGAACATGAACGAAGCAGTAGCAGCAGCAGCATTATCGAGGCAGAGGCAGGAAGACCTGGCAGCTTAAATAGAGCGGCATGTTTAGGAGAATGTGTTTGGTTGGTTGTAAGAGGGATGAGGTGCGTCACGTGTTAATGTATCATTGGTGCTCGAGCTGACTGCCTAAACTAGCTCGCAGGCTTCGCCCCATTTATTAAATGGTTATAACAGTGAATACTTTGGCATCTCTTTTGGTGGATCATGCTAAATGTTTGTTTGTTACATTTGTTGAATTTTCTTTGGCAAAACTCAGTTAAAACTGCATATATATAATAATATATAATATATATAATTCGAATATGCTTTGTGCTAGATCGGATTCTATGGAAAACAACGAGAACGTCCTTATAAAGAAACTGAAGTCCTGAAACACGACTATTTTCTTAGCACCCCCACTTATTGGTCTAGCCCCACCTTAGCACCAGGAGAAATAAAATCCTGGCCCTGTGCCTGAGATAAGATAAGATAAGAAGTACTTTATTGAAAAATTAAAAGACTAGATATAAACAAGAAAGTAGAAATATACATGTTGAATTACAAAATGTACAGTAACAAATATAAAGCAAGTTATTATATATACATACGTTTTTAAATCTTCACTGAAGACACACTTCCTCTCTCTGGCCTTCTAGTCAGAGCTGAGTATGACACCTGACATTCCCCTGTGTTTTGTTTTTATATTTCTGTTGTATATTTGTTACGCTCTCCGAACGCTTACAGGAGTGAACCCACAATACTGAACACTTACGAAAGGAGACTGAAGTTTATGTAGCAATTGGGTTTAATATCCAAAAACAGGCTGAGACAGAACTGAAGAGGGAATAGTAAATCCAAAAAGGCCTGGGCCTGGGAATGTCTCCAGAGCTGAGCGGAGGACGGAAGCCAGGGATCTTGGGTGACGAGAGAGAGCAATCTGGATCAGGAGAGCGGGGATGCACGGAGGAACACAGCTGGAGGGATGGTGGCTGGACGCGGCAGGCAGAGGAGCAGGTAGATGGACACTGGACAGAGAGAGTACAAGGTAAGAAAAACAAGAACACTAGAGATTTAGGTTTAGCAAATAGCTAAGAGACCAAGACGTATTACCACTGTGGTTAGACGACGAACTGGTGAATACTGGATGAGTTAACCGGGTATAAATGCAGGTGTAGGTGAGTAGTAGTAATCAGGGTGACGAGCAGCAGCTGAGGAGGTGAGTTGGCGGGAATCCAGAAGTAGGTCAGCCACGCCCAGCCAGGAAGACAGACACACAGACAGACAAAAACAAACACAGAAGGGAAAAAGAAGGAGGCAGAACTGTGGATCCTCACAGTACCCCCCCCCCTCAACGGGAGCCTCCTGGCGACCACCAGGCTTGTCTGGATGTGCTCTGTGAAACTCCCTCACCATAACAGGGTCCAAGATACGTGAACGTGGAACCCAACAACGTTCTTCAATGTTATACCCACCCCAGTTAACCAAATACTGCAAGCCCCTGCCCCGGCGCCTGACATCCATGAGTCGGAGCACGGAGTAGGCAGGATGGTCATCGATGACTCGGGGGGGAGGAGGGGGAACGGTTGGAGGGCACAGGTCACTGGTGTGAACTGGCTTGATTTGAGAAACATGAAAGGTGGGATGAATCTTCATGGATCTGGGGAGCTTCAAGCGGACAGCAGAGGGGTTAATAATGCGCTCAATGAGGAAGGGGCCAATAAACCGAGGGGACAAATTCTTAGACTCGGTAAGGAGGGAGATATTCTTGGAAGATAACCAAACTGATTGTCCAGGGGTGTAAGGGGGAGCGGCATGTCTGTGGCGGTTGGCTGACAGTTGATTTCTGGCAGAAGTCCGGAGGAGAGCCGAGCGAGTGTCCCTCCAAACCTTACGGCACCGACGAACATGTTGCTGAACGGATGGAACTGCCAACTCACTCTCTTCTTCAGGAAACAGGGGAGGTTGGTATCCTAAGGAGGCTTCAAAAGGTGAGAGACCAGTAACAGAAGACGTGAGTGAATTGAAGGAATACTCAACCCAGGGTAGAAGGGAGCTCCAGGTTGATTGATTGCGATTGGCAACACAGCGGAGAGTTGATTCCAGGTCTTGATTGGCCCTTTCAGTTTGGCCCTTAGACTGGGGATGATAACCAGAGGTTAGACTGACCGATGCACCAAGCGAATTACAAAAATTCTTCCAAACCAGAGAGGTGAACTGAGGGCCACGGTCGGAGACGATGTCAGCCGGAATTCCATGCAGACGGAAGACATGCTGGGTGAGTAATTGGGAGGTCTCCAGTGCAGAGGGGAGTTTGGGCAGGGCTACAAAATGGGCACATTTAGAGAAACGGTCAACAACAGTGAGAACAGTTGTGTTACCTTGTGAGGGAGGTAGGCCGGTGACAAAGTCCAGAGCAATATGTGACCAGGGTCGACTTGGAATTGGAAGGGGTTGGAGCAATCCCGCAATGATGGGAGGCCTTGCTCCTAGCACATGTAGTGCAGGCTGAAACAAACTCCTTAGTGTCATGATCAACAGTTGGCCACCAGAAATGTCTCCTGAGAAGGGAGAGTGTGCGGTTGGCCCCAGGATGATTGGCGAAACGAGAGCTGTGGACCCACTGCAGAACTTGGGAACGGACAGAGTTGGGGACAAACTGACGGTTAGACGGACCGTTACCTGGGTCTGGTGGCTCCAATAGCGCCTCCTGGATAGAGTTAGTGATCTCCCAGGTGAGGGAACCCACAACACAACTCTGGGGGAGAATAGAGTCAAAAGAGGTAACTGGTCCCACAGAAGTGAACGACCTGGACAGGGCATCAGGCTTGGTATTTTTGGAACCAGGGCGATATGTTAGAGAGAAGTTGAAACGACCAAAGAAGAGGGCCCATCTGGCTTGTCGGGAGTTTGACTGGATGTACTCAAGGTTTTTGTGGTCAGTCCAAACTAGGAATGGCAGCTCGCTGCCCTCGAGCCAGTGTCGCCACTCCTCCAACGCCATCTTCACCGCCAGCAGCTCCCTGTTGCCCACATCATAGTTTCTCTCAGCTGGGGAAAGACGGCAAGAGAAGAAAGCACATGGATGAAGTTTATTGTTAGGCCCTGCTGTCTGAGACAGAACAGCGCCAACCCCGATGTCTGATGCATCTACCTCAACCACAAACTGCTTGCTTGAGTCCGGCTGGATGAGAATGGGGGCAGAAGTGAACAGAGACTTGAGTCTAAGAAAAGCATCGTTAGCCTCAGTGGTCCAGGAGAACTTGACCTTGATTGAAGTGAGACTGGAGAGTGGAGCTGCAACCTTGCTATAGTTCTTAATGAACCGGCGATAGAAGTTGGCGAAATCCAGAAACCTCTGCAACTCCTTCCGAGTTGTGGGGACTGGCCACTCAGTGACAGCTAGAATCTTTCCAGGATCTGCCTCCAACCTGCCTTGCTTGATGATGTATCCCAGGAAGCTGACCCGTTCCTGGTGAAACTCACATTTCTCAGATTTTACGTACAGTTTGTTCTCAAGCAGCCTCTGAAGAACCTGGCTGACGTGGTTCTGGTGTTCCTCCAGGCTCTTGGAAAAGATCAAAATGTCGTCAAGGTACACAAAAACAAACTGGTTGAGAAAATCTCGCAAGACATCATTAACCTGTTAAGCACCAAGCCTGTTTTTCATGTTTCAGGCTCGAAAATGACATGCCCAAAACAAATGACTACAACTTAACTTCTAAAAGGGTTATATGAATAATTTATTTTATCAAAGCAAGGTTACATCTGTGAGTTGGATGTAGAAGTCAGAATCAATATAGATGTTTTTTATTTTAAAGAAAATTCAGATTTTACATAGTAAAAAACTGTAAATTATAGTGTCCGTCCAAAAATTCTTTTTTACTTATAGTGAAAACTACCCTTGGATGATGGGTTAGTAGACTAAAAGCTTTAGGAATCCAAAGTACAACATATAATAAGTACCCTGTATCAAGATTGATGCAAAACAAGTGACATTTTATCTTTTTAGAGAGGTTTAGCCAAAACCACTCCACCTCTGAGGTGATTTGGGTGAAAATGTTTTTTTTTTCCATATCTCTGGCCCCCCTTGGTCGATTTTGATGGTTGACACCTCTTTCTGACCGTTAGAGGCAATAGAATCGAATGGGGAGTCCCCCACACACACACGTTGTGAAGAGAAGAGGTGGGGGCTTCGTGCATGTAATTTAGCATCGGAGTGGACCTATCTCTAGCTCTGACATTTGGAAACTAAAAAGCAGTTTTATTGCTTATGGATTATCAGAAATCATTTCAAAGAGGACACAGACACATTGGATTAACATATGGATTAACTGCAGCATCGTTTTTTTATCGTTTTAATGCCATTGAAGACCAGTTTTGACCAAGGTAAGCCATGTTAGCGTTTCTAGCTACCCAGCTCCACATGTTCTGATGTACGCTTTCGTTTATAGCGTCACAAATGTTTATCACTGAGTGTTGAGGTTTTTTACACAGATTCTGTGTCTCCAGGAGATGTCCTCTTCCTCCTGAAGTCAATGACCATCTCTCTGGTCTTGGCCACATTCAGAAGCAGATTATTTCTTCCAGTCCACTCTACAAAATCTACCACTGCAGTCATCCGAAAACTTCTGCAGATGGCATGACTCAGTGTTGTATTTAAAGTCAGTGGTGTATAAGGTGAACAGGAAAGGAGACAGCACAAGATGTGTTCTCTCTATCCTTGTTGGGTTTACGAACACCATTGATAAAAGCATTGGCTAATTAAATGTAATGTGTTTTTTTTAGACCCGGGTACTGGTCACTCATGGCCTCAGCTTCCTGTCTAAAGCGGACCTGGTTCTGGTGATGGAGGAGGGTCACGTCTCAGAGATGGGTTCCTACCATGAGCTGATGGAGAGGAAGGAAGCTTTTGCTAAATTCATCCACACCTTCAATGGAAACCAGCGCAGAGAAGGCTCCACAGCCCGAGACAAGAGTAAGGGGCCGTACACAAGGGGCGCGTTTTCTTACTGTGTTGTAGACGCGAGCCACGTCCGCCTGGCTCTGGATGTGCTGACTTTTCAGGGTGTTGTTTTTTAAAGTTATATTAAGATATTGTCTGTGGGACAGCAGTGTTTTCCCTATAAAACTGATTAGTGTAGACCGTTTTTATTTGTAAAGCAGCTCGTTCAAGGCAATCTTGGAACTCGACCCAACCTTGATAATAATAGTATTACAATTAATAATAAGCCTTATATTTGTATAGCACCTTCTATACAAGAATTGTAGCCCTTCTTGGGTGACTCGGACTTGGAATCGGATTCAAGCACAGGTAATGATGACTCGGTTTGACTCGGACTCTTCTTGGGTGACTCAAACTTGGAATGGACTCGAACAGTGGGGACTCAAGAGCGACTTGGACTCGAGAATTGGTGACTTCAAATCAAATCAGGTTTTATTTATAAAGCACATTTAAAAGCGATTTTTGGTCGAGCCAAAGTGCTGTACATGTAATAAAAACACATTACTACAAAACACAATAAACGACAATAAATTACAACAGATATAACTTAAAAAACAAAATAAGAATAAAACACACGGAATAGTCAGGAGTCGTGCTCCGCTCTAACTAGAAAGCCAGAGAGAAGAAGTGTGTTTTTAGTTTTGATTTAAAAACCCCTAGGGTCTGGGCCGACCTCACATGGAGGGGCAGAGTGTTCCAGAGCCTAGGGCCAGCTGCTGCGAAGGCTCGACTACATCACTGGTGTGTATAATCTTGTATTTGTGTGTGTGTAGGCAGGAAGTCGGTCTCTCGCCTCAGTATGACAGATTTCTCCATCGACCTTTCTCAGGAGCAGCTAATCAGGTGCAATAACTAACTAAACATCTTCAAAAATGTTTATAAACAATAATAATAAATCCTTATATGTCATTAATGATACACATATTACTTGTATTTTTTTAACTACTGATGAACAAAAACTAAATGATAAAAAACAACATTATTGATTATCTGATCTGTGTTTTATGTCAAGCTTTTAACAGAAAACCTTGAGAAGTGAATCATTAAAAAAATTACAACTTTCTCAAAAGTTATGTTTGTTTTGTGTTGTCTGTGTTTCTGTGTGTGTGTTGGGTGTGTGCGTCAGTTGTGATTTGAGCAGTGCCAGTGTTAAGCTGATTGAGGCAGAGGACGAGGACTTGGACACTGAGGATGCAGGGAAACTAATGGAGGTTGACAAGGCACACACAGGAAGGGTGGGTCTTTCTTTTAATTATTATTTACCTTTTCCACTAAAATAAGTTCCATGCTGGTGCTAGTGTTGTTTGGAAATTGGTTAGATGGATTTGCGAACAACTTATGAACCAGTTTGCTTCTCGAATGAAAAGAGAGGGGCCACATCGTAACATCAGAGTTCCTGCTTTTCAACAGCGAAGATGGCTGACTACTTCTCCCACAACTTTCTACTTTTCTCAAATAACTTTCTAAATTGGGGAAAAAAGTGTTATATTTGGTCTAAAACGACAGCAACACTTGTCAAGCATGATTTGCTTAAGAAAAGTGATGTTAAAAATATGTCTTACCGGTACCGGGGGCTGCAGGGTTTTCTTTCACGAAACTGTGTCTCAGGGCTTCTTAACATTTAAAAACCTATGAATGTGTCATACTCACTTAACGGGAAGAAATTCAGCTAACTGACGATACAAACCATTTGTACCGAAACAAAGCACAAGTCTCACAAGAAGCGTCTAAATGAGCCCTGAGCGAAAAAATATTAACACACTTAGCACAGTGTTACTTACCCTTAAGTAAGTATCGATTAGCAAACTGAGATTCCACAGATTCTACAGGTATTAGTATCATCACTGAGCGATCAGAACTCACAACAGGGGAAGCAAACACAGACATCACAACACAGAGCTTTACGGACATTCACGGGACATCGTCTTACCTTAGCTGTTGTTCTGATCAAAAGTCGTGTTCAATGGCATTAAAACAATAAAAACGCTGCTGAAGGTTAATCCATAGGTTAATCCAATGCAGTGGTGCCCACACTTTTTTGGCTTGTGAGCTACTTTTGAAATGACCAGCTCACCAAGGTCTACCAACCAAAAATAAAATCCCAAATTGCAAGGGGCTGAATAACACGTTTTATTTATACATGGGATAACTACAACAACTCTATTTGGGTTCTTGAACAGAAACAAATACATGAATACATAAAACTAAAAAGGCAAGTTAACCAACCTCTCTCTCTCTCTCTCTCTCTCTCTCTCTCTCTCTCTCTCTCTCTCTCTCTCTCGCTCTCTCTATCTCTCTCTCTCTCTATCTAGTCTCTCTCTCGCTCTAGATCTCTCTCTCTCTCTCATCTCTCTCTCTCTCTCTCTCTCTCTCTCTCTCTCTCTCTCTTCCCTGTTAATTAACACATAACAAGCAGGCTAAGGAACCATTCTCCATGGTCCTGAAATCTTAAACATAAAACACAAACGTAAGTACAAGGAATACAATAAACGAGTAGAACACTCAACTTAGACACCAGACTCAAATGGGTCATATGACATCCCTGTCTCCTAAAAATTACCAGAACTAAACTGCATTCTCAATTACGTTTAGCTAGAAACGTATTTTCTCCCACGTTACGTTTGTTATGAACGTATCTCAAATACGGTTATTTTCTATATATCTTTGCCCTTTATTGTCTTGCTTATAATAATGATAATAGTCATTTATAAATATCATTTTAGAGCACACATTTGAAATCGAGAATCGGTCTCGATATATGGTTCAGTAGGCGAGGCTGTAATTTCGCAAGCTGTTACTCTCATGAGCGAGGCAGAAAATAATAGTTGTATCATGCCAAAAAGCTGCTGTGTCGTTTATTGCACCTCAAACATTCAAACAAATCCAGAGTTACGTGTTTCTGTACTTCCTCTAAGAACAAAGGACAGTAACAGAAGAGCTCTGTGGCTTCAGGCTTGATCGCCGTTCAAATGACAGCGTTGGTTTCCCCAAAAGTGGGCGGGGCTGTAAAGTGACGTAGATTTTACTCTCATCTATTATTCAAAACCATTCTATTTATTCTAACGTAAATTACATGCCAGTGTTTTATCTTTTTATTTAGCGATTTGTTTTTGCACTGGGAATGTTTTCATGTGGAACTTTGTCTTCTTCGTCCCTTTTACGTTCCAGACAATGCATGGCTCAGCGTAACAGACTGAACAGCGACCCCAGGTGTGTCTACATTGGAATTACATCTTCATTACTGAAGGAAAAATACTTCACCTAGTGTTTGTTAACTGGGTTTTTAATGCACAATTTCAATAGCTTACCATTAAATGACGGATATACCTTTCTGTCTGTGATGTTTTACAAATCAGATATTAATGTGTAGAAGTAAAACATGAGAAATAGTATAGCAATATCCTGTAAAATTATGTAAAAACATGAATAAAACTACACATCTTCAGATGTTATACATACATAAGTGTCCTACACTAATAATACAAAGTTATTATTAGTATACTGTGTGTACCTTGTGTGCACCGCCTAGTGCTTAAAGCACGTTATTTAATTATTTCTGTTGAATAATGTTATTTTTGTTGAATAATGTTATTTGATGAATAAAATATTAAGAGTACATACTTTCATAGGGGGAAAGTAGAAGGTCAATGATAGAAATATAGAATATAAAAAATCAAGAAGATACTGTAAGTGATCTCTACAATAAAACAGTTTATTGCCGGATGTACAAAGATATTAATATGAGGATGTGCAAAACAGACAAACTAATGAACCTTTATTAACACATTAAAGAATACTTTAGGTTAAGGTCTTCTTTTAAATAAGAAAAAAGCTTTACACATAAATATTAAGCCTGACAAAGTACTTAACGTCTAATATATTGCTTTCCTGCAATGTTAACTGTGTTGAAGCACTTATTTTAACTGATATTATACACATTAATTATACTCTTATGTATGTAGATAGTATAAGAAATGTGCAGAATTTGACAGTTTAATGGTGGAGGTACACACATATTGATAGATGTCTTGTAATGCACTGTTGAGGAACCTGCGACCCAAGTTTTTCATTCATTGCATAACTTCAACATAGTTGTGTATATGATATGTCAATAAACTTTAGAAAATCTTGAAAGGGATGTGCAAAATAGCTATTATATACAGTTTTTAATTAACTATTAGTAGAGAATAACGAGTAATGAATATACTTTATAGAGATCTGCAGATAAATGTTTAGTCTTCTCAAGCACCAACTATCAAATATCTCTCCTGATTGTTGGCACTTGACAATCACCTTTCCCTGAATTTTACTCAGGTGTAACTAAAGTCTGATTTAAGGGTTGTTTATATTTCACATCATTAATCAGAATCTGCAAAGTAACTAAAATAAATGTAGTGGAGTAAAAATACCAGGTTAACCTCTGAATTGTAGTGGAGTAGCAATGAGCTGTCATGTGGGTATATATTAATGCTTCCCATTATGGACACAAGCGATTTTCACCCATTTATGAATTACATGTTTTAAATTTGTACACACCAATTTGTTTCCTATCGCCTAAACCTCCAGGGCTGTACACAGTTTAATACTGTCAACTTCTAATTTTGGGAAAAACGAAAACGTCTTTTAAAACTACAATTCCCAGTAGAGACGTGCCATAGAACATGTTGCGAAACACAATAGCCAGCATGTGTAGTTCTGGGGGGGCGTTCGAGTCCAGTTTTGGAAAGTCTGCCGTGGTTTCGTTCCATTTCAAAGAGCTGTTTGGCGCTCGGCGTAACCTTGGCACACTGCCACTCCAACATCCAATCCCAGAGCTTGAAGATTAATCACGGGGTTTGTCAACAGGACTGTAGTCCCAAACGATAGCTGTTTTTTGGATATCATATCGCATAAACACCATATCCCTACGTGCATTGCGGCTAAAACATCCAATCAGCGAGCTGAGGATCTTTCCTACGTCTGTTTCCGGTATTGTTCCTGTAATGAGAGTTCACATTTATGCTACATTGAAGGGTGGAATTGACTACACATCGTCAGAAACATAATTTGCTTCAGATATAACTCATAGCAATATTGTAACCATTAAGAAAAGCCAACTGCATTAAAAACCCAGCTAACCCTAACCCCGCCCACTTTTGGGGAAACCAACGCTGTCATTTGAACGGCGATCAAGCCTGAAGCCACAGAGCTCTTCTGTTACTGTCCTTTCTTCTTAGAGGGAGTACAGAAACACGTAACTCTGGATTTGTTTGAATGTTTGAGGTGCAATAAACGACACAGCAGCTTTTTGGCATGATACAACTATTATTTTCTGCCTCGCTCATGAGAGTAACAGCTGGCGAAATTACAGCCTCGCCTACTGATTTTAATTTAACCATATAGTCTATCGAGCCCGATCGTCGATTTCAAATGTGTGCTCTAAAATGATATTTATAAATGACTATTATCATTATTATAAGCAAGACAATAAATGGCAAAGATATGTAGAAAATAAACGTATTTAAGATACGTTCATAACAAACGTAAGGTGGGAGAATATACGTTTCTAGCTAAACGTAATTGAGAATGCAGTTTAGTTCTGTGGGAACGTCATTTTTAGGAGACAGGGTTGCATATGAACAGTCTCTCAAAGTTATAATGATATATACATAGGTCCAATAGGCATGTTAACATTCTCTCTCTCTCGTGGCGATTGGCTCGAGCAAAGCGAAGTCTCGGAAGCGTTTCTGGAAGTCAGATGTAATGTTATTGACTTGCTCTGTGTAGCACGCACTGTCAAGGAGCGCGCTGTCCTTCCCTTGCTTTTCCAACTCGGAGGCGATGTTTTGGAAGTTGGCCAAATCTTTGCGCTGCAGCTTTGAACACAGCAGATGCAGTCTTCGTTTGAAGGCATTAACTGAGCTGATCATGTCAACCACAGTTCTGTCTTTCACTTGTAGCTCCAAGTTCAGCTCATTCAACATGTGTGTAATCTAGATCTCGTCATCTAGACGTGCGTACTCCGCGAGGTTGGTGCCATGGAGAAATTCCTTTATCTCCGGTAGAAGCACTCGAAATCTCTGGAGAAAATTGCCCGTACTCAGCCATCTTACGTCGGTGTGTAGTAAGAGGTCAGTGTGAACACAGTCGGCATCCTCCAGATATGCACGAAACAGCCATCTTTGAAGAGGTCTTGCCCGAATAGAACAGGCCACTTTAAGTGACACATCCATGACCTCTTTCATGTTCAGCATTTTTGCGTGCTGGTGTATGATGCAGTGATAATTAAGAAAGTCAGGGAATGTGTCATCCTCTCTGCATTTTGCGATGAAGCCATTACAACGGCCCACCATCGCAGGCGCACCATCCGTTGTGATGGAACTCAACTTAGACATGGGGAATTTAGTTTTGTCAACAAAGTTAATGTCCGAAAACTTTCCTCGCCCCGAGTGTGTTCCTTCATTGGCAGAATTATCAGCAGTTCCTCTTTCGCCGTCATGTCTGTGAACACCATCCTGATAAAAACGCACAATTGCGCTGTATCGCTCACGTCAGTGGACTCGTCTAGTTGGAGTGAGAAACACTTGCAGTCTTCTATGTCCTTCCTGAGTTGCTGGGTCAAATCCTCAGCCATGACTTCACAGCGACGTGTGAATGTACTCCGTGATAATTGGACGGCCTTGATAGCGTTTACTATTTCTGTTTTGTTTGTGTAATCCCGAAACAAGGCGTCTGCTGCTTCTACGAAGGCTTCTTTCACCATCTCTCCATCTTGAAAGGATTTTTTGTGTTTGATTATAGCGTGACTCACTCGTAGAGATGCTTCAGTGGCTGCCTTTGCGGTGGATGTCGGCTTCAAGAAAAGTGACTGCTGTCCAGCTAATTGTGACTTAAGTTCCCTCACCTTTCTCTTTCTCAACTCGCTACTCGGAGGGAAGTCGCTGTCATTTGCCTTGTGAACACTCCGATAATGCCTCTCCACGTTACTTTTCTTTGGCAGAGCGACGCTTGCTTTACAAATAAGGCAAATACACTTTGAATGTGACATCACAAAAAAGAAAATTCCTCCCATTCTGTGTGGAAGTGGTATGTTTTTTGCTTTTTGCTCGGTCCCGCGCTCATTTTGTTTGTCTCTTTAACTTAATTTGAGTTTTCCCGGCACTTGAATGATTTTGTGTCGCTTTGCATTCTGGGTTAACAGACTGGAAAGCGATAGGTAACTTTGTCTGTCAATCAAGTAAACTCCTGAATTAAGTGGCAGGGAGGCCAAGGGAGGAGGGATCAAAACCAGTTTCGTCTATTTTAATGGAGCTGGATTTTTTTATTTATGAATGACTCGCCATCTACCAGCATTGCCCCTGCGGTCGACTGGTCGACCCACGATCGACGTACTGGGCACCTCTGATCCAATGTGTCTGTGTCACTTTGAAATGATTACTGATAATCCATCATTCCATTTTTATGTCAAAAACGGAGATTTCATATTAGCTGCTAATGATAGCCACCAGAGTGTATCGCAGCTTCCGATTCCGGGGCATTCTGGCTACGCAGCACTCATTCACCAATGGGTAATGTTTAGATGGATTTTAGGAACTCCCCCTCGATTCTATTGGCTCTAACGGTTAAAAAGAGATGTCAATCATCAAAATCGAACGAGGGGGGCCAGAGATCTTTGGACGGACACTATCATTTAATTTTCTTTACTATGTTCAACCTGAATTTACTTTAAAATAAAAATAATCTATATCAATTCTGACTTTTGTACATCCAACTCACAGGTTTATCATTGCTTTGAGAAAAAAGATGATTAATTTACCCCTTTTAAAAGGGAAGATAACGTAATTTGTTCTGGGAATGTCATTTTCGAGCCTGAGACCTGAAAAACAGGCTCAGGGCTTAACAGGTTAAGGGACCCACAGCGTGGGTTACACAACAAACACACACATACACATACACCCACACACACACACACACACACACACACACACACACACACACACACACACACACACACACACACACACACACACACACACACACACACACTCACAAACAGCAAAAATACTGTTTCTTCTCTTAGATAAGAAGGGCATGACAAGAAAGCATTGTACCTTTTAAATGACATCAGATGAGGCTTTGTGTAGTCCAATCACATCATAGGTACATTATTTAGAGGGACATGGATATGGAATATCATGTCAGTAAAACTGTAATATTGAGTGTAAAATACAAGGTAATAAAATAATAATAATATTAATTCATGGTATTTATTTTTAGCGCTTTTCCATGTGCTCAAAGTATATGTTCAGTTGCTTAGACCATGTTTGGGATCTCTAATTTATATGCCATAATAACAAAAAGTGTTGTGCTGGAACTCAAAACATTTGTGTTTTAAATGTCTTCATTGTCTGTTTACCAATAAGAGAATAACCGTCAGTGTTTTTATTTCATTTACAGATATTTGCTTCCTATACAAATACATGTTATTCTTTTTTGGGCAGGTGAAGCTGCAGATGTACAGAGAGTACTTCAAGACCGTCGGCCTGAGCGTCATCATGACCATCATCTTCCTCTGTGCCTTTCAGCAGGCCGCTTCGTTAGCCTACAGCTACTGGCTGAGCCTGTGGGCCGATGAGCCGCTGGTCAACGGCACGCAAAGTAACCACGAGCTGAAGCTCAGCGTGTTCGCAGCGCTGGGCTTTACTCAAGGTGGGTCACCGCTCCCCATGGTGATGAGACAGGACGCTCACATCTATAAGCTCTTCTGACTATTGAAACACATAAAATAACACAGCTGTCTATTCAAAGACAGCGAACACAGCCATTATTAGGAAACACAACAGAGATGGTGCTCTGAATGATGAAGTGGTCTCAGTGTTTGATCCTACAGAGAACTGACTATCTACAGCAGGGGTGTCAAACTCAATTTCATCGCGGGCCACATTAGAATTATGGTTGCACTCAAAGGGCCGGTGGTAACTTTAAGACTATATAAATATACATAGATAAATATACATAATAAATATAAAATAATGTATTATTTTACAATATTTCCTCTGCATTGGATTATTATCGGATAGGGTAATAACTTCATAATTAACTACGTCTGAAAGCAGAAGTCTAGGGAAAATAATTGCAAGTCTCTTCATTGTGCATGTCACCCAATGAGATGCATTGTGGGACATGTAGTTTATGGGCAACGTTCTCCTGTAAAGCGGCACGTAACATTATAATAAACTTATTATATTCGTTGCAAGCTCTTGTGGGCTACATAAAATGAAGTGGCGGGCCGGATTTGGCCCCCGGGCCTTGAGTTTGACACCCCTGATCTACAGAGACCTGTCTCAGATGCAAACCAAATTAGAACATGGTTGGCCCGCCCCACTTGATAAGCCACAGCTCTGATGTCGATGCTGGTCTGGTTTTCTGCCCAGATAATTAACCATTGTTTGTGTTCCTGTGGTGTACACTCTTTCAAAAAGAAAATGTTTTCTGATTTATTGTGTCATAAACTCTCCCATTGAAACCAGCCTGTGTTGTTTTAGGGTTGGCCATGTTTGGGACAACGCTCGCAATCGCTCTAGGTGGTATCGTAGCATCGCGTCACCTTCACACTGAACTTCTCCACAGCGTACTGCACTCTCCCATGTCTTTCTTTGAGGTGACGCCCAGCGGAAACCTACTTAACCGCTTCTCTAAAGAGATTGACGCCATTGACTGCATGATTCCTGATGGGCTTAAGATGATGCTGGGGTACCTGTTCAAGCTATTGGAGGTCTGCATCATTTTGCTGTTGGCCACACCATTCACAGGCATGGTGCTCCTCCCCCTGACCTTTGTCTATATCTTCATCCAGGCAAGTAGATTTATCTGAATCTAGGCATATCAGCTGAAGCTGTAGCTGCTTGTAATTGTTGCTTTCTATCTCTCTGGCATCCAGAGTTTCTATGTGGCGTCGTCATGTCAGCTGCGACGTCTGGAGGCTGTGAGCCGCTCACCAATCTACAGCCATTTCAATGAGACGGTGCAGGGCGCTAGCATCATCCGAGCCTTCGGAGAGCAGCCACGCTTTGTACTGCAGGCCGACCATCGCATTGACAATAACCAGCAAGCTTACTTTCCTCGCTTCGTCGCCACCAGGTTAATTCTAAGGACTTAAAACATCTAAAGTAGGGGTGTCAAACATCCGGTCCACGGCCCCGCCACCTAATTTTATGTGGCCCGCGAGAGCTCGCAAAAAATCAGTCAGTGACAGAGACAGCGACACCAAACACAGAGCAAGTCTGCTTTAACTATCAAGACAAGAAACACCAGTCACAGAATCACAGTCCACTTCCTCACAGATGCCCCTTTCCACCAAACTGGTTCCGGTTCATGCATCATGATATCATCGTTTACGTCGCTGATTTTCTCCCGAACACCGCTCACAACAACAACAATGGGGGACTGCGTCGGGTCGATGATCGTGTAGCTTTTAATCTCACGAAGCCATATTAACTTAAATAACTACTTCTCAACCCTTATACTTTTCTCCAAAGTGCTGTGGTTCATTGTTAATTAATGTGTTTCAGTGGCTTTACCGACCGCTGCAGTGCTGCTCGTCCACCGGAGTTTACTCTACTGTTAACTCACGGCAGAGTTTAGTCTACCGATAACTCACGCCAGAGTTTAGTCTACCGTTAACTCACGGCAGTGGCCGCGGGAAAGTATTCACTGTCTGACTGGCACACAGCAGCTGATAAATATCCCCCCCCCCCCCCCATAAGTGAATGTGTTTCAGTCTGAATTGACGCGGTTTCGCATCACAACGTTGTTATGAAAGTGTCTCTGGTATAAAATGGGTGATGTTAGCATAGCAACCTAAGCTAATCTGACTATATTGACTACTTGTTGCTATCCTATTGTGGCATAAGCGGTTTTCTACAGGCATATTTTACCAGCGTATTTTTCACTATGATTCTACTTGTGATAGTCGGACATGGCAACCTGTGTAGCCAACACAGTCTCACGGCATTTCGTGTTATAGTCACGAAATTAATCTATTGATTCGTGTTCACCAACACGATTTCGCCATTTTTTTCGTGTCACACAGAACGATTTTAAAAGCAATGTAAATAATAACAAATTAGAAGGAAAAAGACATTTAAAAAAATACAGATTTAAGTATTCTGACACAGAACGATTTTAGAAGCAATGTATTTATAGTGGTAGTATGTTTCGTGCCTGCACCAAATAATAACAAATTAGAAGGAAAAAAAGATGACATAAAATACAGATTTCAGTATTCTGAGGCTCTGAGCCATTTCTTTTCCTCACTGACGGCAAAAAAACTCAGACATTATACAATTTAAAATAAAAGGGATAGGGTTAGGCTTAGGGTAAGATATTGAGTAAGAACATGTTTTTATGAACCACACAGCTTCTGGCCTTCCAAGACCCGACCGGACAAAAAGACGTGTTGCAGGCACGAAACATACTACCAATAGAAATACATTGCATTTAAAATCGTTCTGTGTGACACGAAAAAAAGGTGAAAATCGTGTTGGTGAACACGAATCAATAGATTAAATTAATTTCGTGACAATTTCGTAACACGAAATGCCGTGAGACTGGGTTGGTGTAGCCCATGTATTGATTCCATCCGATAGCTGCTATAATACAAACAACATGAAAACGCCTGCCTGCTCTCCACAAAGATCAATAACAGCGAACGGATGGTCAACGTAAGGTCAAATAAACAGAATCACACTAAGCCTGGTTAGTGTTGCCTGACTTTATAAAGTGTGTTTTTTTTACAAGTGTGTTGTCACGTTCAAGTCACTTTGCTCAGCGCTACTGCTTGTTACAACTTTTATTGCTCAGGTTAATCTCGCCCCCCCGACGTAAGTGTGAAGAATTGGTTCTTGGTTCTTGCCGGGCAGCCGAGTGGAGCCAGCTAAGAACCGGTTTTCGGTGCTTAGAGGCGGCTCCACTGCGGTGGAAACAGGAAGAACCAGAGCTTAATCAGGCTCTAGCCCGGAACCAGCCCTGGAACTGGTTTGGTGGAAAAGGGGCAAGAATGACCCGCTCTGTCAGTCAGTCGCTACTGCTCAGGACACACATGGAGTTATGTTTTTTTTTTTAATACTCACTTTAAAGTTATTTCAGGTTTTTGGCTGATTTAAAAAAATGAAGTCTTGCAGAGTATGAAAGTTTTTTCGCTATATTCAGACGAGAAATACTTGTGTAAGGTTTGTGAAGGCATGAGGAAAACCTCAGCGATCACTGTGTCCCCTCACTGACCATCCTCCTTGCCCCTCCCCCCATTGCTGCAGATAATTTAATATATCACGGAAAAGTACTACCCCCATCTTTTAAAGAAATTGTAAGATTGGTGTAATTGTTGAATATTTGCAATTATTTTGCCTAGACTTCTGCTTTCAGAAGTAGTTATTAATGAAGTTATTACCTAAACCAATAATAATCCAAGGTAGGATAATACATTATTTAATATATGTTATATATTTATATATATATATTTATATAGTCTTAAAGTTACAACCGGCCCTTTCATTTTAACCATAATGCTGATGCGGCCCGCGATTGAAATTGAGTTTGACAACCCTGATCTAAAGTATTTAAAATATATTTGTTCTAATTTTCTTGCACTTATTATTTCATATTGTACCTGTTGTAATGGCTATTTCTACCTGAATACAACCTATAAAAGATAAAGTGAATATAACGTTCTACTGTTTTGGATAAATATTTTTGTACATTGTTTTAAAATGTAATTAAATCTGTTTCTGTTAGATGGCTGGCGGTGAATCTGGAATTTTTGGGGAATTTGCTGGTTTTGGCTGCAGCCATCCTGTCGGTGCAAGGTCGGGATAAGCTCAGCCCGGGCATCGTGGGATTGGCAATGTCACACTCTCTGCAGGTTAAGACTACTGTCAATTGTTTTAAAACCAGTAAAGGATAAATGGTCCTGAGGGAGTTTAAAGATAGTCTTACCATCAAGCCAGAATGTGTGTAGGTAAGAAACACATTGCTAAAATTGCTTATGAACTTTTTTTTTCATTCCATTTAGAGGTAAATCAAGTTGTCAGAAACGGATGGACCCTCACCCTAGAACTTAAGTATAGTTGACTTTTGCCTAGTATACAAACAAGGAAACACTGGACCTATGCAGTTGCCTAAGACAAACTTTTTTTTAATGCCCACAAATATAAACAAATCAAAAACAATACAGATTGAATAATATATATATATATATAACTATCCATCCTGGAAGATTTTAATTTTGTTAGACTATTAGTCAAACAAGGACTTGGTCCCTCATCGGTTTGGTCACACATACTGAACTAGCAACAAACTCTTAAAAAAAGCTTCGTCTACATCTGAATCTGTGTCAACTGAAAGACCAACAACACAAAAAAGTCTTAATGGTTGTGTTTGAAGGTGACAGGAATCTTGAGCTGGATTGTCCGATCCTGGACTGATGTGGAGAACAACATTGTGTCTGTGGAGAGAGTCAAAGAGTATGACAGAACACTAAAAGAGGTGAGAAGAATACTGTAACCTGTGTAAAAACTGCTGTTACCGTTTGTATCTATGTTTTTATTTTATTTGACAATGAGATTTGGTCATGGAACTAATGAGTCTCCCAGGCAGCGTGGACCCTCCAAGACAGTATTCTGCCAGCAGCCTGGCCGACCACAGGAAACATTGAGTTTGAAGAATATGGGCTGCAGTACCGTAAAGGTTTGGACTGGGCTTTAAACAACATCTCCATCAACATCCAGGACAGAGAAAAGGTTAGAAATATGGCAATGGAAATGTTTATACTATCATATTATATATTATTTTTAAAAACAAAGTTTTTATGTTGTCAGGATAGACTGTGATGCACTATATGTGCCTTAGAAAGGTAATGTACTGTAATGTTAATGCGTTGTGAGCAGCACACACACACACACACACACACACACACACACACACACACACACACACACACACACACACACACACACACACACACACACACCAAGTCCTACTCTCTGTTATAAGCTAACTGATCATTCAGGTAACCAGAGGCCTGTACTACGAAGCTGGATTTTCGCTTAGCCGGCTAAATTCAGGGAAATCTCGGGCTTTCCGGTCCTACGACGCTGGTTCTCTTTTTAGCAGGCTAGATTTCCATGGTAACTTATGCTGAGCGGCAAACCTGCTCCGGAGCAGGTTAGGTGGCAGGCTAAGAGATCAACTCAGTGAAAGCACCGCCTGCTGACCAATCAGAGCTCCGTGTGTGCGGAGTTTAAAGCGATCAAGTCATATTACAGGATAGAGGAAATACAGAAAAACTGCCGTTGCAGGAAAGACAGCCGGCAAAAATCAACTGACTGTGTGAACGTGAAAATTAATAGAATATCCCCTACCATCTTCAGAGCAATCTGACTATTATAATATTAGCGTTAAGAAAGCTTACTTAAATATCTGACACGACATAAGTAACCGGATCAGAGTAACATTAGTACAGTCCGCGGCACTGTGAGTGCAGATGTCGATGTGTGCCATTATCATTCATATCATATCACATCATAATGTATCATATATTTCCTTATTTGAGTCAGCTTCTTGAGCCGTATCTGGCCGTGCAACACTCACAGTGTCACATACTGTATGCAGAAGTATTATTTTAAGCAACACATTAAGTTGACGAAACACTCGAGTCAAATGTAATTAAAGTCAGATCCACTCGTGTCTTAGACGGGGCAGTGATTTCATAAACCTGTTAATGTACGCATTCAAACACTTTTTCTTTTACCAGCTGTATTCACCTTGCAGGTGCAGCTATGTGGCTTTTATCCTGGATAAAGTGTTTAAGACATGGATGTTTAAAGTTTAACTTCTTCATATTTGACTAATATTAAAGTTCACTTTTCATTCAGGAAGTATGACGCTGCGCTGTCAGTACGCTTGTCCGTGTTTGAGATTGGTCGAATGCTCCAAATACCACCCCTTTCATGTGAACGCGCACCTAACTAGATAGGACACGGCTGGCTTGAGCGATCCACTTGATAACCGGCGTCGTAGTACAGTTTAGCGCCATCGCGTATGTTTTGGCTTAGGCCAACCGGCTAACTCCAACATATCCAGGTTAAGTTGAACCAGCTTCGTAGTACAGGCCTCTGGCCCTACATTTGCTGTGTGTAAACAACTCCAATTAAACAAGCACTTCAGACTGACTAACATATAGATCCAGGCCAGCAGCACACAGTAAGCAACATAACCCCATCAGAAACTACACACAGCTAATGTGCAGCTCAGTAAACAGTAGCATCACAGAGAAAAGAAGGTGTGTATTTCACCATTCTCCTGTCTTACCTGCTGAGGAGGTCAATCCAATCCAATCCAACTTTATTTATAAAGCACTTTAAAACCTCCAGACCAAAGTGCTGTACAGAGAGATACATAAAAGCACACAGATCAGCTCACAAAACATAAAAATAAGTATAAAATGACATAAAAGATAGGAACACAAAACAAACCAGAATAAACGTAACAATTACAAAATAAAAATAAAAACAGCCATATAGTAAAAACAATAGACCACTGAAGGCAAATAAAAGCAACAATCTACTTGTTTACAAATGCTAAGGAGAAGAGGTGGTATTTAAAGTGCACCTATCATGCTATTTTTAGGCAATAGCATAGGTCTCAGATATATAAAAATATATAAAGACATGTCTATGAAGTAGTAGGCCTGGTGGAGTGGCCCAAGGATCCTAGGTCTATAGGAGTGGTCCGAGGGGCACCAAAAACCATCACTTCGGTTTTGTCATCATTTAATTTTAAAAAGTTGCATGCCATCCAGGACTTAAAGGTGGGGTAGGTAATTCACTTCAGAAACACTTTTTGTTATATTCCATGGAATGCTCTTAACATCCCGATAGCAATGAATACATTAAATGCTTTGACAATAAATACAGAAAAAAATGTCATCTGTGGAAGCCGTGGCGCTGTAAAAAGCACGACCAATTATTTTAGCCGGCCCGGCTAAAATAACTGGATGGCCTACCTGCCTGTCAGCCTTCCATCTCGTGCACAAACTTATCTCGTGCCCTCATTGGTCATGTGCGCGTTCGTGTGTGTTGGAGGAGGGGCTCTGTAAGGAAGTCTGAAGATTTTTTTCGGCTGCGTAGTTTCAAATTCTAGCGCACTCGAGCTGGTTTCTCCATTCTTACCTACCCTACCTTTAATGTCTTCAAGGCAGTTTAACAGTGGTTTAATTGAGTGTGAGTCCTTCATTTTAAGTGGCACATATATTTGGCAATCGTCTGCATAGCAATGAAAAGCGATGCCGTGCTTCCTAAGAATGGACCCAAGAGGGAGCAAATACAGGGAGAATAACAGGGGGCCTAACACTGAGCCCTGTGGAACCCCACAAAGGAGAGGAGCAGACGAGGACTCAGAGTCCCCAAGGCTGACGCAGAATAATAATCATGTAATATAATTTCCCACCAGCCTTCAAGTCCTCAACAACATTAGAGTACATGGATATGTTTGCTAGCAAACTAGCTGCCGAAGCTTTGCATGGCAGCTTGCTCCGTATGAAGCTGTCTGGGAGTTGGCCTGTCATAACATTTCATTTTGAGTTGAAGTGGTTATTTAGTAAAAGTAATTTTTTTCTGACACTCAAAATCTCCACTGTCGATAACGGGGGGTTACGTATTGTAACCCTAGTTATATAAGCACAGGCGGAGCCCTCTACTGGACTCTATGGGTACTACTCTCTATCATGCTGTGCGTGCTTTCACCTACTGAGTTACGTAAACGTAGCCGGCCAATCGGAGCGAGCCTACCTGAATGCGCGCGCAGGCCCACAGTATATACGCCCTCCGACCGTCATCCTACACCCTCTTCAGCGAGCGGCATAGGAAAGACAGGGCCCCCAGGTACAGGGCTCCGCCTGTGCTTATATAACTAGGGTTACAATACATAACCCCCCGTTATATCTCACACAGGCTCTGCCCTCTACTGGACTCTATGGGTACAGTGGGCGGAGCCCCGATGTATAAACGCCCTGTCGTCCAACAACATCGACCCACCACACCGTCCCTGACCGGCTTTTGGCTAACATCCACCGCATCCCCACTTCCTCCCATCCGGTTGTAACCGTGGAGAAGTCGGGGCCGCAGCTTGGATAAGGCACACTCACACACGCTTACCTCGTGTAGAGTGTGCATGGAAAAAATTGTGCGGAGACTCCGTATCAGAGGTGTGGACTCGAGTCACATGACTTGGACTCGAGTCAGACTTGAGTCACCAATTTGATGACTTTGGACTCGACTTGACAACATCACAAAACACTTGCGACTTGGACTTGAACCCCAATGACTCGGGACTTGACCTGGACTTGAGCCTTCTGACTTGAGGTGACTTGATAATTTAATTCAGAGGTCTCCAACACGCCGATCGCGAGATGCCGCTAGAAGAGCAGACTCCCGTCGGGGAGAGCAGAATCTTCAGCCGCTCCAACTCTTGCTGTGAATCCATGCAGGCAGGGGCGGGACTTTATTTTGGTGAGCCACCATGCGGCCAATCATATGCAAGGACACACTAGGATCATACCATTATGTGAAAGAAGGGTGGGGGGCAGACGCTCCAAAGACAGCATGTGTAGTGGTACAGGCCAGCTACACAGAGCGACGGGGAGACGGGGAGCCGGATTTAAATGCAAGCGCGTCAGAAAAAGTCAAGAAATTTGCGAAAACCGAAAAAAGAAGCAGCTTCTGGCTGCATTTCAATGATATTGGAGAAAGCAAAGCTGAGTGCAGGATTTGTAAAATGAAAATAACCTTCAGAGCAGGGTTTTTTTTTTGGTAACCACTTTATTGTCAGAGGTGGGAGAAGTTCACATCTTGTACTTGAGTAAAAGTATCTGAGTGTAGGAATACTCGGTTACAGTAAAAAGTCCTGCATTCAAAATGTTACAAGTAAAAGTAGAAAAGTATTATCATCAAAAAAGTACCACCTGCAGAGGGATCTAGATTCAGGTGTAAAAGAAAAGACCGCCTCGCTGCACATTATCCCTTGCATAAAAATAGATTGTGGGTCCCTTATAAGATGTTGTACACAGTGGAAATAAACATTCTGGTCACCTTAACATCAGGGATCTTATAAATTAAACTCCTTGTGAATCAAACCGTCACGGTAGCCTTACCTTACTTATCCCTCTTAAAATAGAAGAAAAACATGTTACTTTACCAGCAGAGAGAAAATGGATTATTAACTTATTAATGTGACTAATAAAGAGCAGTTTGATTATTAAGTATTATTCTGTTGATCGATGTCATTACATTTGTTGAAAAGCACATAAGGACTTGATTAACCTGTTAAGCCCTGAGCCTGTTTTTCAGGTCTCAGGCTCGAAAATGACATTCCCAGAACAAATGACCATATCTTCCCTTCTAAAAGGGTTAAATTAATAATCTTTTTTCTCAAAGTAATGATAAACCTGTGAGTTGGATGTAGAAAAGTCAGAATCAATATAGATGTTTTTTATTTAAAAAAAAAATTCAGATTTTACATAGTAAAAAACTGTAAATTATAGTGTCCGTCCAAAGATTATTTTGTACTTATAGTGAAAACTACCCTTGGATGATGGTAAGGTAGACTAAAAGCTTTAGGAATCCAAAGTACAACATATAATAAGTACCCTGTATCAAGATTGATGCAAAACAAGTGACATTTGACCTTTTTAGAGAGATTTAGCAAAAAGAAACCACTTCTGGGGTCATTTGGGTGGATTTTC